TTTTTTCCTAAATAAAAACAAACCATAATACTGTACACTTTTTCTGGGAGTTTCCTGTTTCTACCAAAATAATATTAACCGTTTTCGCCATAGCCCTTTTCCATCAAAAAACTAAAATGGTACGATTCCTGTTTCCACCAAAAAAAGTTTGGAAACCATGGGTTTTAATTTTTAAGCAATATTGAATATATGTTCTGGTATGTGTAAAAGACATTAGTAATGTATAAACTGATAATCGTCGATAATAACGGTTGACTGTTCGATATATTGTAACATAGTTTATTTATAATTCGTACACAATAATTAGGTATCTGACAAATGTTAAATTCTTATATTTCCATTCAGTGTCTGTTCTATTTGTCACCAGAACACTTAAACGTTCTTACTTATTTACCGTTCTTAAAATAGAATTTGTTGTTAAGTAAAAGAGGTAAAACAATGTTGATTTTTGATAGGTTTAAATATGTTTTTGGTTATACGTCACAAATGTAACTCGGTGGGGATGTTTTATGAAAAATTGCCGGGTCAATATTTTTGAAAAATAAAAAGTAATATTTGCAACGAAAGGTACGTTTTTTATCTACGAGTAAAATAAATATATTTATTTAATTATTTATTTATTTATGACAATATGTGTTTTTTCAAAACTTTATCGAGACAATATTTGACCTATCTTTGTTTTTTATTTTATAAATAGTTAAATAGAATAGGCATATAATAACATGAAATTATGTAATACTTTAAAACTCTAATATAATTGTACCTAAATTCAATTAATATATTATAATTATTTACTCGTATTAAAATTTGTAATGAAAGAATGAGTCACAATTGTACATGATTCCCAAACGTCTTATCACAAAAATAAATTTTGGTGAAAACGGGAATCATACCTTTTTCGTTTTTGGTGATATAGGGCTGTGCGTAAATCAAGGAATCGGATTTTTGGCGGAAAAGGTACATGCCCCTTTTTCTATTTATTATCAACCTGATTTTTTTAATATACTTATTAGTTTTGACCGTCTTGGTTTGATCCTGTACTTGGACAGCAATCAATTCATTATGAACCGCGAGTTTATTATCCAATTTTCCGACGTTTTCTTCAGTGCATGTAGAATTATCGTTCCCCGTTAATTTTCCCTCACGATCAATTAGGGTAGTCATTGTAGTTGATAAGCAATTGATATTATGTTTAATGTTTTTCTCTGATTCGTTGGTCAATTGCGGCGGCTGAACTTTGTTGGCATCAATACTTCTGTGACCAATGCTATCAATGGCAGTGGCCATAAACAGCTTGTCTTCGATGCCAGCCGACGTGACAACACATAAACCATCAAATACCCCGTTATCTTTATACTCGTTTTCAATGGAATTGTTTTCTGACATTTTAATTTTTTGATACATCAATGTAGCAGCTTTTCGTTTACCCTCTTTCTTCAGTAGACCCTCGACTAATCGATCGGTACAAAGGAACATTATTATTTTTTCGAATAAGAGTAGAAATTTTAATTCAATCACTTACCCCTGACTGTGAACGATAGTACGGTACACTCTACCGAATAAGTAAAAGTTGTACTATCACCTTCTTCGAAAAACTTATACTCCGGTAGTCTCCAATTTCGGTACATACACAATTCTTG